CAGGCAGAGAAAATGGGCATTTTTAGCTGTGCCGCCTCCCTGGTCTGCACTCAGTGTTACGAGGAAGCAGAGTGGACATTTGGGCAGTAACACTTCTTCACAGGGGAGGAAACAATATGCCAAGGCTGCCCATGGCCACTCCTTGTCCCCATCTTGGCCCAGCCCCATTGAAGAGCCTGGGACAACTCCTTATCTGGTCATACATGCTACAGTGAAATGCAACACCTGAGAGAAAAAAGAACAATGGTTCCTGCAGCCCAGGGTATTTATGTGTCACCTCTTTCCCTCCCAACCGCCACCCCTCTGAATCAAGGGCCTGGGAGAGCAGACAGGACAGGTCTGGACAGTTTGAGGCCAGGAGCACTCAAGGACCCATGCAGGGGCTGACCCAGTACCCTCAGGATATCACGCTCCTGCCAACCCATGGATGCTGCTCACTCCTCACCTCCCTGCACCTTCCTGCAGCTTGGGACCCTGACTCCACCAGCCCCTCCTGCTCTGGCCTCCTTCACCCCACGCTCTCCTGGTTCTCCTCCTTCCTCCCAGCCGTGCCAGCTCAGGTGTCTTGTGGATTCCTCCCTTTCATTTGTGCTGTTTAGGGCACCCCCTGACCCAAGGTCCTCACCTCTTCTCTCCTTGAGCCGAGTCCCTGTTTCTATCTCCGAGGCTCCCCATAGGCTGTAATGATGACTCTCAAATCTCTGCCTCCAGCCCTGCTTTCTCCTCTGAGAGCCCAGCCATGTGGCCAGCCAGTTCCCGAGACTCCAATCCCAACATGTCCTGCACTGACCTCATTACCTCTCCCAAACCCTTGATCTGAGGATGCCGCCACGCCACCTCCCCAGCTGTCCAAGCTAGAATTCTGTGCCTTGTCCTCGATTCCTCCCTTTTCCCCACCTCCTCCATCCAATGAGTCACCAACCTTGTCGACTCCACCTTCTTGTCTCCTCACTATGCCACCTACTCCCTCCTTTCCCACTGCAGCACTCTGGGTTAGGCCACCATGCTCGTCCTCACTGGGTCCTGTGATGGCCTCCAGACTGGCTCCAGTTTGGCCCAGCTGCAGAGAGATTTCCTCCAGTACCAAGTTGATGTCACTCCCTGGCTCCACATCTTTCAGTTATGCCCCACGGTTCTCAGGATGAAATTCAAATTCTTTGGTTCAGCACTTAAGACTCTTAAGGGCTTGTCTCCTGCTGCCTCTCTGGCAGCAGCCCTCCTCTTGGCTTCAGGCTCACTGCCCTTAGGGCTCTGCCTCCACACTCCCCAGGCAGGCTCTTTGGTACCTGACACCAGGACACAGAAGCTCCGGATGGCAAGTAGGGGCTCCCAGTGTCAATGCTCCAAGTAAAGGAAGGGGATGGAACCTTGATGTGTACCTCAGTTCCCTGTGAGTCTGGTCAATATGAGTCAGTTCCCCAAGCCTGCTTATTTGGACTCAGCAGGATAAGGTTTAGGTCCTGCACCACGGTGGTCTGGCAGGATGACCGTGGCTGATGGGCCATCTCTCCCACTGCCATCACCTTCAAGCATGGACAGACTTTAGACAGGGGGCTAAAGTCCCCTGGAGGGAATAGTGATGAGCAGAACAGCTCCCATGTACTGGGCACCAGGCACTCGGCTAAGCATTCTGGTGCCATATCTCATAAATGTTCCCACAGAAGATTTAAAAGGCAGAAGGCTCTTTTATTATCCCCATTTCATAGAAGTAGAAATGGAGGCCAGAGAGGTTGAATAACTTTCCTACTGTCAGCTGAAATGTGCTAGACCCGGAATTTGCACCCATTTCTATTGGATTCCATAGTCATCAAATTTAAGGCATGGATATAAATAGAAGACTGAGGGAGGGGACATGAGAGTAGGCAGGCAGTGACAATGGAGAGAGTGATGATTTGGATGAGAGACGGGGTGATGGATGGAGTAATCACTGTCCGATCACGTTTGCTGCCCTCAGAGTTCAAGATGACTTGTGGAAGGTGAGCATGTCAGCAGGAGTGGGGTGCATCCTTTAGGTGCCCCATCTTCCTCCACAATGCTGGCTCCTTGGAAGGCTGTGTGGCATGGGACAGAGGTGAGCAGAGAGTGTCAGGGAAGGGCTTTTCAAGTCCTGCTGGTCAGGGGCTCCACCCGAGGCCTCCAAATGGGCCTCAGGGGCAGAAACTTACAAAGGTAGGCATTTGTCATTTTTATGCTTACGTTCAGATCCCTAATAAGGAAGTAATGATATTGCCAAGCCCTTACCATGCTTTCTATGAGCTAGTGAGAAGACTAATTATCTGACGACACTAATAAATGGTTATGATGTTATTAAAAATGGCACCAAGCTAGGATTAATAGGCTCATCAATTGTAGGGAATCGGGTTTAACAAAGTCCCCTGCATGTCCTGTCAGGGCCTGTGGACTTGATGGATACTGGGCTGCCCAAAGCACTGCTCAGCTACATGGAGGCCACCATGCTAGCCCTCACCAGGTCCTGTCGCCCCAGCTGAGGGTCAGCTTAGGAAGTTCTGGCTGCTGCTGGGTTTTTCTGAACACACCCCCTTGCAAACATTTCTTCAAAGCTCTGGGGCCACTGGAGACACTGTGGGTGGCAAGATTGGCCCAGCCTTGCTCACTCCCACACAGGGTTTCCACTTTCCATGTGACCCGGCTCCTCCCCAGCCCAGCTCGTCTCAGCAAATGACAGCCTCAGATCCTACCCAGAGTCCCAGACTCCAGAGCCCCACTCACAGAGCGCAGGGGAGTGGAGGAAATGGAGATGCCTCTGAGACCTGCTGACTGATTTCCATAATAATTATAGTTATTACTAATAATGGAGACAACACCACTCCCTTCCATTTACACTGAATTCTGCAGTCTGGAAGCTGCTTGCCCACCACTTGTCTGCTCTGAGCCTCACAACAAGCTGGGAGGAATGCAGGGCAGGTATTACATTCTCACAGTTAGGGAAGTGGAGCTCAGGGAGATAAAGGCACTTCCTAAAGCCTCCTCTCCAGCCTCCAAAGAATAACTGGAAGGATAAAAATAAAAATAATAAAGGCAAATACTTACACTGTGCCAACTATGTAATGCACATACATTAACTTAGTCCTCACAACAGTCTTATGAGGCAGGTCCTATTAATATCATTTCCTTTTTACAGATGTGGAAGCTGAGAAACAGAGAGGTTAAGAAACTTGTCCAGGAGCACACAGCTAGTAAGTGGCAGAGTGGGAATCAAACTTGGCCCAAGTTCATGCTCTTTACCATTAGCTTCTCCTGCCAGACTTCACAGGAGACCGATTTGCTGGGGCTGAGAAAATGACCCCACTGGACCAGGCTCTGCTTCAGTCTTCATCTTTGAACTCCAACCTCCTTCTGCCACCTTCAACCTGCAAGGTCTCTGCAGGGCAGCTCCCCTCACACAGAGGGGAGCTAAACAGAAGGTCCCGATGCTGCCTGCCCCTGCCCTGAAAGACCAAGTAGTCATTGCCCTGACCTTTGGCTGGTACTTTTCAGGTTGCAAAGACCTAATGTATGAACTTACCCTTGCCCAGGCTCCTGGGGTCAGGTGGCTCTTTGTACAGGTCAGAGCACAGGGCTATGGAGGCAGAGGGCCTCCAAAGACTCCACCACTTTGAATCCCAGTTCCACCTCTTACTAACTGGGGGCCTTCACCTCTTTCTGTAAGATGGATGGTGACAACAGTACCTTCCCCCCTGGGCTGTTATAAGGATAAATAAGAGAAGGAATCCACGGGGTCTAGGCCAGGTCAGGTACTTGCATTTACTAGCAGCTCTTTGATAGAAAATGCTTTGGTCATGTTGAGGGCCCTGATCTAGAAGGCAGGTAATGTTTACGTGCTACGCGAGCCTGTACAGATAAAGCCTCATTTAATTCCACAACCACATTAAGAGCTATGGTAGCTGCTAATTACTCCTGTTTTAGAAATGAAGAATCCGAGGCTCAGTGAGGTTGAAGAACTTGCTTGGTCATACATCTGTTAGGCAGTGAAGCTAGAACTTGGGGCCTGGGTCTGCTGGACCACAGCGTGGCCTTCTAAGAACTATGATGCATTTTCTCATAGGCTTACAAGGCTCTCTTTTGCTGAGCTTACTATGCGCTGGGCCCTGCGCCAGTATCGCAATCCTATAGGAAAGGGTATTAGCACACCCATTTTACAGGTGAGGAAACTGCTCAGAGAGGTCAGGTGAGTCCTCCCTGTTCACATAGCTAATGACTGAAGACAACCTAGGGCCTCCTGATTCCTCTTCCTGCTGTGGTGTCCCTAACCTGTGGCTTTTCCCTGTCTTCCTTCCAATGTCCCACAAACCCCAGGTCCCTCCTGCTGGCTGTTCCCTCTCCTCCCTCTGCTCGCTGTGTCTCCTGGCTCCCCTGGGTCCTCTTGCCTATCCCAGGCAGAGTAGGAGGCTGTCCCCTTGGTGTCTCCCAGCTGAGCCTGCTCATCCGTTCATTCCGCTGTGTCTCCTGGCTCCCCTGGGTCCTCTTGCCTATTGCAGGCAGAGTAGGAGGCTGTCCCCTTGGTGTCTCCCAGCTGAGCCTGCTCATCCGTTCATTCCAGCCCACAGCTCCCTGGACCAAAGTCACTCAAGGTGGGACATGTCTACCTCTGTGTCCCAGAGTATGGTGAAGTGTTTTGTATCGGCACATTGTCCATGTGGCTGGGGCATCCTCTGGTAGCTCTTAAAGGAGCACAAGGCACTGAGAAGCTGAGGGAGCCCTTCAGAGCAAGCTCATCAAAGATGCTGCTGGGACAGGCTCCAAATCAGGCGTGGGCCAGTGCGGGTGTGTTTGGATGGAAGGGAATGTCTGGGTGTGGGGAGCATGCACAAGGCACTCTTCTTCCTATGGGGTCCCCCAGCCTCCAGAGGCTCCACCTCTGTCTCCATCTCCCCTGACCCCAGGGCCCTTGTCTGCCGGGATGCCCAGCCTGATTACCAGCAGCACTCTGCCACCTCCAAGGGGTCCTCTGCCCTCCCGGTGCTCTGGGCCTGGCTTACGTGGTCGATGAGCTCCTTGATCATGCCGTTCCACTGGCCCTTGTCGTCCTGAGCCCCGTACTTCCCGTCCTCCACCAGCCGGATCTCATAGGAGAAGCCCAGGATGTGGGCCAGTTCCTTGAGCAGGTCGATGCAGTAGCCCTCAAACCGGTCATTCCCATACAGGGTCCTGTCGGACTTCCGGAACATGACAAAGGGCTCCTCCTGCAGGGATGGAAGGGAGGGCGGGTGACTAAGTCTGAGTGGGTAGGAAGGAGGCAGGCTCGGGCTGGAGAGTTTGGGCCAGAACCTCTGCTCATGTTTTTATAAAAACACTTAGGGTGGCTGAGACGAATGGCCTGCTAAGTCGGGAGCGGGGAAGCACATTTCCTGAGAGCCAACGCAGTGCCTCACGAATGGCCAC